GAAAGGCACCTCGAAGAGCTAGGGGAGGTGGACGGCTGGGACCGTCTCAGGGTGACTGAACCCTGATCTGGGCAGGGGATGCTGTGGAACACTATTTTAACTGTGTAGAGATGTGTTACGTCTGTTTATGCTGCCTTTGGGTAACTGTGTAAAGATGTGTTGAACCAGTTTCACCTTGCCTGCCTAAGGCACCTGATTGGCCTAACAGAAAGCTGAATGGCCAATAGCTAGGCAGAGAAAGGGTAGGCAGGACTCGCAGGTAGAGAGAATAAACAGGAGGAGTCTAGAATGAGAGACAGGAAGAAAGCAGAGAGCAAGGAGAGAGAGAGAGAGAGAGAGAGAGAGAGAGAGAGAGAGAGAGAGACTGGGCCATCCAGGCAGCAACCAGCTAGCAGACATAAGCAGCAATGAAAGTAAGATAAACAGAAGGGGAGAAAAGTAAAAAGCCCAGAGGCAAGTGGCAGATACAGAGAAACAGGTTAAGTTAAATAAGTAAATAAATAAAAGCTAGCTAGAAATGGGCCGAAGATAGGCCGAGCATTCAAAACTAATAATAAGTCTTTATGTCATGATTTGGGAGGCTGGTTGGTGGCCCCAAAGAAAAGACCTGGTACATGGGGGAATCTGCTTACACTCACAGCTATGCCAAGACTACAACAAATGAGCTCTCACGCAGCTCCCCAAGTGGTGCAATGGCGTCAGTCAAGAACTTTGTGAATGAGCTTTTAAGGCCACAAAGCCGCAGCCTTAGAGATATTTGAAAGGTGATGCTCACGTAGAAGCATTTGCCTGCCCACCCCCATCATAAAAAATAATCACACCCTGAGCAATGCTGTTCTAGGAAAGTCTGTCTATGAGAATGACTTAAGCACGAAATGTTTTTGTTTGTTTGTTTTTCCAGACAGGGTTTCTCTGTAGCTTTGGAGGCTGTCCTAGAGCTTGCTCAGTAGACCAGGGTGGCCTCAAACTCACAGAGATCCACCTGCCTCTGCCTCCCAAGTGCTGGGAATAAAGGCACGTGCCACCACCGCCAGGTTAGGAAATGTATTTTTTAATCTTATATAAAAGGGTCTCAAAGACATGTGTGACTTACACTCACCATCTCAGAAGGCTGAGACAGGAGGATTGCCATGAGTTTAAGACCCAAATTGGCTACACAGTGAGTTCCAGGCCATTCTGAGCTACAGTGAGACCTTATTTCATAAATAATAATAATAATAATAATAATAATAATAATAATAATAATAATAGAAGATCAGGCAGAAATGGCTCAGTAGGTAAAATGGTTACTGTACAAGTCTGAAGATCCAAGTTCAGGTCCCCAGGGCCTACATAAAAGCTGAGTGTGGTGGCATATGTCTGTAATCCCCACAGGTGTGTCCTGGGGTCTCTCTAGCCCGACAGTCTTTTCAGAATGATGAGCTCCAGGTTCAGTGAGAGCTCTTACCTCAGACAGTGAAAGACACATACACACATGTCTTCTGTCCTCCATATGCACATACATGGGAGAGAGTACCTGCACATACGAGTGCACTGCATACACGTGCATATATCACACCGACAGACAGGCACATAGCACCTTACATATATCACATATATGTATTTCATACATAACAGATGCAAATGTCACACATACAGATGCATATACCACACATACACATACCACCCAAACATGCATATGTCACGTGCACAAATATATCACACATGCATACACCCCACACACCCACATATATACAACAGATACATATACCACGCACATGCACAGATCACACTGATGCAGACAGCAATGAACATATACCACACACATGCATATGCCATACGGACATGCACTAAATGAAATAAAATCTAATAATTTTTTTTTAAAGGACCTAAGCTACGTGGTCAGGCTCCTTAGTTGAGTTTACTGCATTTTGTCATCGGGAACTAAATTCTCCCATCATTCTACTCTGGCAAAGGCGGTGCTAGGCGTGCTAGGTGGTTTCCTGCCCATGGGTGACAACCCAGTGTCACTATCTCCCCAGCAGATGTCCCCACTGGCCACTGAATGGAACTGTGCCTCAAGCCCACACCCATCCCTGTCACTCACGAGGAGTGGAGGTGTGCCATAGCTGGCTCAGAGGAATCGGGATGTGTATCAACCAGAGGGAGCAGCTGGAGCGGGGAAACTGAGGGAAGAAAAACAGCCCTTGGAACGAAGGCAGTCCTCAGCTCCTGGCCTTAGCAGGTGCTATGCAATAAACTGACAATCGTCACACACCACACACTGACCATGCATGTCCCTGGCATTGTGTATAGAAAGCTATTAGTAAATAAGTACCATTTTATCCACAGTTTATACACAGTAAACCACAGCCCAGCACCACGACATTCTTAGGAGTCCACAGAGGCTCCTTCCCCGAAACATGTTGGCCCCTAAAAATAATACAGGCAGCAAAAACTGCTGGTGCCTGTATTTCATCAGACAAGTGTATTCCAGCAGACGGAAGCAGGTAGGGCTGCCTGAAGGTTCTGGAATGGAATTCCACATGTAGCCTCTTGTACACACAACGCAGGCCTGTCAGAACAAGTTTTGATGAGCTTACCAAATGCCCAGGCATCTTGGCCACATATTTGAAGGCCATGGAGGGCAGGCTTCCCTGTTGGGGCTTCTGTCTGCAGGAATGCCCCTTACACGGGCAGGGTTGTGTGCGACAGGGCTGTGACAGGCAGCAAGCCCATGTGTGTTGGGGGAGAACTGTCCTTCCTACCAGTTTTCACAGGCAGTCGGAGGGAGAGCAAGGGGACACAGACAATTGAAAACATCCGCACAACCCAGGGACTGTCACTAAAAGTGAAGTTCCAGGCAAGCAGGGTAGAGGCGTCCAGAGGTATGTCCCCCCTGACGCCCAGCACAGGTGACCACCATGTGACTACATGTGGCCAAAGGGACTTAGCAGAAAAGAACCTTGAGATAGGCAGGGTGGCCCACATTACCTCGGTGGCCACATGAACAGAGCCGAGATGTCTCCAGAGCTGTGCTCGGAGGGAGCCTGACCACTGAGGAGGGACTGCAGGCTTTCCTTCCCCTTCTTGCCACACCCTGAGCTAGAGAGGAGCCAGGAGCCCCCCCCCCCCAACTTCCATCAAAGATCACAGCCCTGCTCAGTGCTGCCCCTAACTTTCTGGCTGAGTGTGGGGTGGGGTGGGGATGCTGCTTCCTCTTCATTGGAGATACGGGGGGGGGTGTAGGACACCCATGGGGAGCTTGGTGTATGGAGGAGGCATTCCACGAGTAAATGTCTCGCAACTGAAGGGAGGCAGAAGAGGGCTCATTTTGTACTGGTGGGATGGACCTGGCCCCCTGACCCCATACCCTCCAGGTAAACCTCGCTTTATACTCTTACAAGGTTGCTGCCAGGGGACCCCAGGGTGTAGACTGAGTTTCTTCCCATCTGGTCCCGCTGCCTTTTTAGTCCCAAGTAAATACACATAGGTTTCTATTAATTATGAACTATTTGGCCGATGGCTCAGGCTTCTTATTGGCTAGTTCTGTCTTAATTATTCACCCATAACTACTAATCTATGTACTTCTACATGGCTTTATCTTACCAGAGAAGGCCGGAGCATCCAATCTTCCCAATCGCTACATAGCCTCTCTCTGCCTCCTCTCCCCAGAATTCTCCTTGTCTCGCAGCCCCGTATACTTCCTGCCTGGCTACTGACCAATCAGTGTTTTGTTCATCAACCAATAGCAGAAATATATATACAGAAGGACATCCTCCATCACGGGGTCAGCGGTGCAGGTTTGAACCTGGTGGTAGAGGTCCAACAACGCTCTATAGCCTCCATGAGAAATAGCAAAACAAAGGGATGGAGGAGTCGGGGGGGGGGTTGAAAAAATAAAATGGGTGGGGAAATGATAGAAAAAAGAGTGATAGAATAGTTGTCTATTATTTTTACAATATTTTGGGTGCTGGGTATTAAGTTCAGAGCTTTGCGCTTGCTAAGCTCACACAAACGCGGAGTTCCCCAGCCCTGCTTTTTAAAAAATGGAATAGTTAACGCATAAATACGTGCAATCGTGTGAGCTACAGTCATTAAAAACCCATCAGTAATCTAAGACTACAGTAAAATTTACCAATGACTTGTAGTCACCCCTGGGACACCGCCCCGGGAGCACTGAAAATCATTTCTTTTTCCCTGGGGTTATCTCCCTGGATGGTTTGGAAGTGCCCCGTTTGAGAATCCTGGGCTTAAGTCTCCTCTCTCCTGTTCCCTTGGTTTTCACCAGCACCCGGGTAACCGCCACCCGATCCTGGTACTAGCGACACTTGCTGTCGATTTCCCTCCTACCGCCAGGGGGCGCCAGAACAACCCCGCCGCTTCCTTTTCCCGGCCGCGCCGCGCCGGAGGTACTTTGGCCGTCGCGGCCCCCGTCGTCGCGCGGGCTGCCCGGCAACCGACGGGGAAACGGCTGGCGTCGCTGCCGCGGGGCTCTCGGGTCCGGTGAGCGCTGGGCGCGTGCTCGGGCTCAGGCCGGCGCCTCTTCTCGGCGAACTTGGGGTGCGGGGAAGGGCCGAGCCGCTGCCCCAGGGCCCCGGACACCGGACGCGGTGCATGGCGGGTGCTCGGCACTCGCGGATCATCCCTTAGTCAATCCTCCGGGCTGTGTCCGCTGCTCTGGGACGGGGCTTCCTGTGCTGCCCAGGTTGGCTTTGAACTCCCTCGGGGCTGCAGGGGCCTTGCCAGGACGGCGTCTGGGTCGGCAGCGGCCCTGGTAATGGCTGGCCCGCTGCTGGCCACAGCCCGGGTTCATTTGCACGGATAATTTGCAGCCTTGGTGGCAGGCACAGCGTTTAAAACCGGCTGGCCCGGGCCTCGTTCTAGAGTGTTGCTCATTCGGTTGTTCGAGGGTGGGGATGTGGGTCCTAGAGCTGTTTTTAAAGGTGCAGCCAAAGGGCCAGCGCCCCTCCTGAAAGGGAGAGCTTCCAAGCGAGGGTTCCTGGGCTCGTCCCTCCCACTGACGCCCCCTTCAGATGGCGCTCCCCACGCTGCCCTCCTACTGGTACAGCCGGAGGCCCCTGGACCAGAAGGTCGCGCGCCAGCGAGAGCAGGAGGCCCAGCTTCGCCAGCAGTGGGAGCAGAACAGCCGTTATTTCAAGACTTCCGACATCCACAGCTTCAAACAGGCCGAATGGAGCTCCCAGACCTCCTACCAAAGGAGGCAAGTATCCTAACGCTAGCTGCTTGGGGGATGTGGCCTCAGGACCTAGGGACTATGGCTTGTGACAGCATGCATGAGTATTTTTAGCTGGAAATGGTGTGTGTGCGCGCGCGCGTGTGTGTGTGTGCACTTTGAAAGATAAAATGCATGCGGGCAGTTTTCTCTGTAGGTGTTTGTGTTTGTGTGAATGCCCTCCCCACAATGTAGACAGAAATGCATGCAAAACTGTGGCTGGTGTGTCTGACGCACAGCGGGCTTCTTACCTAGTATGCACGCCTACCAGCGTGAGAAGATGAAGGAGGAGAAGAGGATGAGTCTGGAGGCTCGTCGTGAGAGACTCAGGCAGCTTGTGCTGGAGGAGCAGGACCTGCTGGCCGCTGAGCTGCAAGGGCTGAAGTTGAACATGAGCCTGCGGGAACAAACAATCCGGGAACAGCACAGAGATCTGAAGTCAGCCCGGGAAGAACGAAGAAAGCTGGTAACTTAGCCGAAGAAGGTTGCAGAGTGGGAGTGTCCGTGGCCTGAGTGGACAGTTGCATCTGTGGGGTTATTCTTGGGTGCCTTGGTCAGATGAGATGGCCAGGTGACTCTGTTTTAGGTAATGGTTTTAGAGGGTCTCAAGCCATTCGAGGGAGGGTTTGGCCTATAACCCTCAAAGACGCGCCCCAGTGGGCTGCTGCCAGCAGCTAATTCCTCACCCCCAAAGGCGCCCTGGCTCTCTGAATAGTGCCACCAGCTGGGTAGCAATTATTTCTGCTATTGGTTTTTTGTTGTTGTTTTGAACCAGTCTCACCCTACAGTCCTGGTTTTCCTAGAACTTTCTTTGTAGACCAGCCTGGGCTCAAAGTCGTAGAGATCTGGCTGCCTGTAAGTTCCTCATGCTGGGATTAAAGGCAGGAAAACTTTCCTGGCCGAGGGCAAGCATTTAAAATGTGAGCCTGGGGGATGGTTCAGATTCAGCACATAGCAGTGATCTGAACCAAATGTGGTAGAACATTAAGGACTGTGCAAGCTTGGGAGGACAGTCATGTTTTGTTGGCACTTTGAGCATATAGACATGCAGTCCAGCAATGGCAGTCTCACAGCAGACAGACCAGGAATCCAGCAGTCATTGTGCCCATGAGGCTTGGAAAGCTCTGCATCCCAGCCTGTGCTGGAGTCTGGGAGGGTTTCTGGGGAACGTCTGCTTTTCTTTTTCTTTCTTTCTTTCTTTCTTTCTTTCTTTCTTTCTCTTTCTTTTCTTTTCTTTTCTTTTTTTTTTTCTGAGACAGGGTTTGTCTTTGTAGCTGTGGTGATATATTATTTATGATTTAATAAGCATTGCCTGAAATAGCTGGGTGTTGGTGGCTCACGCCTTTAATCCCAGCACTCAGGAGGCAGAGGCAGGTGAATCTCTGTGAGTTCAAGGCCAGCCTGGTCTACAGAGCTAGTACCAGGACAGGCTCCAAAGCTGCACAGAGAAATCCTGTCTTGAAAAAAAAACAAAAAACAAAACAAAACAAAGAAAGATTGCCTGAAGTATCAGAAAAAAAAGCCAGCCACACTAGTTAGCTGTAGAAGCCCGGCAATGGTGGCTGCACCTTTAATCCCAGGACTCAGAAGACAGGCAGGTGGATCTCTCTGAGTTTGAGGCCACCATGGCCTACACTGGAGTGAAGAGTAACAGAGATCACACATATGGATTTGAAGCCCATAAACAAAGGTTTGGTTCTGGCCTTATAATTAATCTTTAATCCCAGCCCTAGAGAGGTATATAGAGACAGAAGCCCAGTGTCTCAGGCGGCATTCTGAGGTTTATTCTCCAGCCACACTGAGGAGAGGCAGCCGTCTGATGCTTGGTGAAGAGTTCATGTAGACAGGGCAGCCCTTTCAGCCTGAGGTAGAGCTAAGAGCTAATGGCTGCCTTTGCTTTCTGTACCCACAGGCAGTCTTTATTAAGTCATAAATAATGTATTACCACATGGAGCCCTGGCTGTCCTGGAACTCATTCTGTAGACCAGGTTGGCCTTGAACTCAGAGATCCACTTGCCTCTGCCTCCTGAGTGCTGGGATTAAAGGTGTGTGCCATTACTGCCTGGCTAACTTCTGGTTTTCTGTCTGTAAGAAGTTGGAGTTAATATGGCCACAGGACAGGGTGGATGAGCTTGCCAGCAAGCGTGAAGGCAGACAAAAAGCCAGCGCCCACTCTTAGCGCCGTCACGGGGAATGTCCCTTCTCTCCCTTATACATCACTGCAATCATCCCTCAATGGTCTGCAAACACTGTATCTTATCTTCAGATGTCTATGGGGACTAGCTAGCCTCAGTCTGTGTGTTTCAACTTGCTACCGACTTGGAAACTCCTAGAAGGGAGCCAGCCATTGCATCAGATGTTAGCTAGCTGTTGGTCCATTGTGCCTTGATATCCTGTATGTGTGTGTGTGTGAGAGTGTGAGTGTGAGTGTGTGTATGTGTGTATGTGTGTGAGAGTGTGTGTATGTATGTGTGTGAGTGTGTGTATGTGTGAGTGTATGTGTGTGCGTGTGAGTGTGTATGCATGTGTGTGAGTGTGTGTGTGAGTGTGTGTGTGTGTGTAAAGCAGTCTTGAGTGGCAGGTGTGTTGGCAGTGCTGACTTGTGCTGGCTTTGTCTGAGCGAATGGATTTGAACAGCGACACCAGGTCTTCTGTGTTTCCTCCATAGATTGCTGAACAGCTTTTATATGACCACTGGAAAAAGAACAACACCAAGCTTCGCGAGGTGAGAATTCAGAGCCTTCCATTGCTTCACCTGGTGTTTTCAGATCGCATCTGAGTCTGGATTCGTGCTGGGCTGATTGAGAGGAGACGAGGACCAGGCAGAGAGGGGCCTGGTGGGACAGGACTGCGCGGTGTCCGTGAGCTCTTCTGTGCAGACCGCCACGGGGATGTGCTCTTGGTCCCGGAGCTCCTCCCAGCAGCAGGCAGCACAGACCTGGCCGGGCGGGACTCGGGTGCCCGACAGCAGGGCATCCCGAGGCGATGGAGCTGGTGAAGTGGATGGCTAGACCTTGAGCGGCACTGCCTGGCCTTCTTCAGAGGCGCCGGTGTGGGGACAGCGCGCTCTGGGCCACTCGTGCAGCATTGTTGGCATGAGCTGGGTGGGCTCCTAAGGTGAAGGCTCAGCCTGGGGTGGAGGGCTGAGTCTGCAGACATCACTGAAGAGAGGCTGGCCGGAGGGCTCTAAGCCCGTTAGTGATGTCTGTTCACCTCAGCAGGGTTTGCACAAGTCTCTTTCTGTCACTTTATGTAGCTTCTCTGTCTCCAAGTTGCCAGTAGCAACTTCCAGGTGACATGGGCTCAGCAGGCGAAAGGTGTTTGCTGCCAAACATGGTGGTGGACCTGAGTTTCATGCAGGGTAGAAGCAAAGAACTAACTCCCACAAGTTGTCCTCTGGCCTACACACACACAGACACACAGACACACAGACACACACACACAGATACACACAGACACACACACACACAGACACACACACACAGACACATACATACACACACACACACACACAATGGGGTGGTTCACTTTTTTTTTTTTTAATCTTTTTGGTTTCTTGAGACAGGGTCTTACTATGTAGCCCTGGCTGGCCTAGAATTCATTATGTAGACCAAGCTGTCCTTAGAACTTAGAGATCCACCACTTCTGCCTCCTAAATGCTCGGATTAAAGGCGTGCACCACCATCCCTAGATTCTGATTCACTCCTTTAGTCTCGGCACTGGGGAGGCAGAGGCAGGCCGATCTCTGAGTTCAAGGCCAGCCTGGTTCAAAGCTACTACTGTGGAAAGCAGTTTTGGTGAGCTGAGCTCAGGGCTGCCTCTGCCTCTCCTGGCTGTCCTTCCCAATTGCGATTCCTTTTCCGAGTCTGCTGGGAAGTGTGTTCTGCTCACCCGGGGCTCCAGGCACGCTTTGGCCCTTCTGTTCCGGGGTGAACTGGGTGTGGAAGCCCCCGGTCTCTGGCTTCCTACCTGCTGAGTGTTCACATTGTTTGCTGTCACTGACCTTTATGGATTATTGTATGAGGGCACAAGTGTGCATGCAATTGTGTGGAGGTCAGAGGACAACTTTTGGGAGACATTTCTTTCCTCCCACCTAGCTGAGGCAGTTTGTCTTGTTTCTGCCTCCTGGCGGAGCACACCGAGCTAGCAGGCCCTTGAGTTTGTGGGCTTCTAGACAGTTCTCTTGTTTCTACCTCCCGCGTTACCACGTGCCCGCCACGGAGACTGAGCTCGGGTTGCAGGCTGTGCTCTTATACAGTGAGCATGTCACCGCCCTCTCCCATACTGTGCTCCTTGGGGTTGCTCTGCACTAAAGTTCACAAAGACAAAGAGAGTCACGGTCAGGCTCCAGCAGGGACAGCAGCAGGCAGGTCACAAGCCCACAGGGAAATGACGTTCTCTTTCTCATCCTCAGCTTGAGTTGGACCTTCACAAGAAGCATGTGATAAATTCTTGGGCAACACAGAGAGAAGAAAGAAAACAGGTGTGTGTGACGCACGCGCTGTGCCCTGCCCCTCCCCCCTCTCCCTGTGCTCTGTTTCTCTGCTCTTGGCTCGATGAGTAGCAAGTGCCTGTCCTGCTGCTTTACTGCACGTGCAGCCTGCATGCCTGCAGCCTGCATGTGTCACATTGTGGAGGGAAGAAACCTGACGTCCCCAGCCCCAGGGTCACTGCAGGAGAGGAGGGGCAGGGTCCAGGCTGAGCCCGCTGAGTGGCAGCAGGGAGCTGAGTCTCCTGGCTGCATGCTGACGGTGCTGCCCTCTGTTAGCAAGAAGCCAGTGAGGAGCAGGAGAAGAAGCGGTTTGAAAATGAGTATGAAGTGGCCCGCAGGGAAGCGATGGAGCGGATGAGAGCAGAGGAGGAGAGGAGGCAGCTGGAGGAGAAGCTGCAGGCCCAAGCCCTGTGCCAGCAGATGGAGGAGCTGAAGCAGAGGGAGCTGGAGGTGAGGGTCTCCTAGCGGGGCTGAAGCAGAGGGAGCTGGAGGCTGGGGTTCTTTGTATGGATGGATCCCTTCGTAGAGCTGGGCGCCTCTCAGCTGTGCGCTCCTCCGTCCCGCCTTGACCCTCCTCGGTGTGCTCAGACTTTGGGACACACCTGTGCTTTCCAGTGGGGCGCACTCTGGCACACGGTGTTCCCCTCGCAGCAGGTTCTGGGTCTCCAGGGACATGAGCCATGAGGGATTTTGGTCCAGGAGGCTGTCCTTGATCCCTGTGGTTCCTGAGAGGCCTGAGCCTTCTGTTGAGATGGAGGGAGGCCTTAGTCTCTGACTGTTGCCCTTCCCCAGCCCCGTTGTTTTAATAACTAGAAATTGAGTGCCCATCATTAATTTCAGATGCTAGAGACAGGACCTGAGGAAACAGAAGTCAACTCAGAGTGTGGGGCCCGCTCAGAAAGGCTCCTGGGCTGGACCAGCCTTGTAGGAAGTTTTGTTGGCGTGGACCTGGGAGTCCCATGGCGGGCCACAGAGGAGGCCAGGCCGTGCTCATGGAGCACGCGCCAGAGATGGAGATGACGCGGGAGGACAATGTGGCTGCCCATCTTACTTGGGTTTACCGTTGTAACCATAGGCAACCAAGCTGAAGAAGGAACAGGAGAACCTGATGAAGCAGCGCTGGGAGCTGGAGGCCCTGGAGGAAGAGAGAAGGCAGATGGCAGCCCTCCGGCGCAAGGCGGAGCTGGGGTGTGTGGGCAGCCTCCTCAGACCCGGGGTGTGTGTACGTGCGTGTGTGTGTGTGTGTGTGTGTGTGCGTGTGTGTGTGTGTGTGTGTGTGTGTGTGTGTGTGTGTGTGTGTGTGTGTGTGTGTGTGTGTGTGTGTGTGTGTGCACGCGTGCGGGGTGGAGCCGGGTGGGACTAAAGGTGCTTACTGCCATCTTCAGGCGCTTCTTGAGACATCAGTACAATGCACAGCTCACCCGGCGGACCCAGCAGGTCCAGGAGGAGCTGGTGAGTGAGCCGACAGCCCGGCAGCCTTTGTCCTTGGGAAACAGCGCCCTCAGGGTTGCAGCACATGGGAGTAGAGACGCCAGGAGACGGCACAGAGGGGTCGAGGGTTTGCAAGCACTGGGCCGCCCTCGACAGCCTTGTCAACGCTGTTCGGTACCTGAAGTGTCAGGGCTCAGGCAGCTGCATGGTGGAGGCCTTGGGTGTTCTTAGTGGAGGAATCCTGGAGCACCCGGATGCTAACCCTCGACTGCAGTCACGTCAGGTCACGGCGTGAGCGCCTGCAGCACAGTGCCTGATTCTGTCTCGGTGAGGCGCCGAGCGAGCGAGGCCCTGCTCGCCTGCACCCACGTCCGTCCTCCCCGCCTGCACCCACGTCCTCCCCGTCTCCAGACATGGCTGCTGCGGAGCCCACTCCCCTGGCTCGTTTACGCGCACACCGTGGAGAGGCGGGTGCGCTCCTGTGTTCACTCCAGTCACCTTGCTCAGCACACGCTGCCGGTGTGGACACTGGCCGCCTGCTCTTCCTGTCACGAGCTTTACTGAGCTTGTGAGGAGCACGCTCAGCTTGGCTGACTCCGCCTCCTATGTGAGACCCACTCCTCTGCCCCCGCCCCTCGGGTCCCCTCACCCTTTTGTTGTGGTGACTGTTGGGTTATGTAGATAGAGATAATAGGTCACTTCCTGTCAGTGGGCATCTGGTGATTTCGAGTTTTCCCCATTTACAGTAAAGCTGCGGTGAGCAGTTTGTACATGCGTCCATGATCATGCACGGCTCTAGCCTCTTCAAAGAACCGAATAGTGCTCTCCACTGTGTCATATCCAGGGACATGTGCCTGTGGTGGCAATGCAGGGGTCCAGCCCTTCCCTTCTGTCCTGAGACACTTCAGACTCTGCATGGCTGCATGGGTGGAACATGGGACACGCAGACGGGGTGGTGCAGGGAGGCGCGCTCCTCGGTGTGTCTCCTCACTTGGCCCACCACCCATGGGCCACAACCTCTCCTCTAGGAGGCAGACGGGCGGATCCTGCAGGCACTCCTGGAGAAGGAAGACGAGCTGCAGCGTGTCCATCTGGCCAGGCGGGAGCAGGCCCAGGCCGATGTGGCCTGGATGAAGCAGGTCATCGAGGAGCAGCTGAAGCTGGAGAAAGCTCGGGAGGCTGAGCTGCAGCAGCTGCTGAGGTGAGGGGCAGCTGCCGGCCTCTACTCTGGTCCTGTGAGATGTTGTCAGGTCACTGTGTGGGCCACTTGTTCTGCAACTTCCGTCTTGTAATCCAGGGAACATGTCTGCTAGCAGCTGGGGTAGTGACGTAACTATAGTGACAGAACGTTAGTCCAGGTGGGAATGAGGACGTTCAGGGTAATAGTGTGTTCATCTATAAAGTCTTAAAGTCATATGGAGATACTGCTTCCATTGTAGGAATGTTTAACGCCTCTAAGCTCTGTAAAAATCAACCTAGACCCTAATGTGCTCCTGAGGACAGGCTGGCCATGTTGCCTTGGCTTGTCTCCACCCCTTGAGCTCCTCGGGGCCCAGGGGCTGGGACTGCTGGCCTATGAACCCAGCTGTGGGGGCCCCGAAATCTAACTCACAGATGGAAACAGGCAGATAACGGGCAGTACATATCATATCCAGACACGGGTCAGCCAGGTGGTGGGGACAGGGCTGGCTCATGGAGACCCGAGCAGGTTGCTGGCTCGCGGCCATCCTAGAGTGTGCCGGGGGTGTGCTCACCAGACCTGGGCGCAAGTAGTGCCCTCCCCCTGCTGCCTCTGGGCCTGATGATTACTTTACCCCAGTGCGAGAAGAATAAACGATGACCTGAAATACTACGGAAGTGTTGCCCTTAGCTGCCACCTTTGGGAAGCTGCTGTGGATCTGCTTGGCTGAAGCTTGGTGGTGGTGTGTGCTGTCCGCTCCCCGCCACTGACGGTGGTGTAGAGCCTCTGCTGTCCTTCTGTCTGTCCAGGGAGGAGGCCAAGGAGATGTGGGAGAAGAGAGAAGCAGAGTGGGCTCGAGAGCAGAGCGCGCGCGACAGACTGATGAGTGAGGTAATCCCTGCTGTGAGGGGCGTGGGTGGCCATTGGTCCCTGTGGTGTGGGCAACCCCAATCCCTGCTGTGAGGGGCGTGGGTGGCCATTGGTCCCTGGGGTGTGGGCAACCCCTACTAATCTGTCCTGGTGATGTCACCGTGTAAAGAACACAGGCTTACTAGAAAGAATTCAGATGGACAGAAAGAACAAGCAGAAGCCTCAGAGCCCTCTGGGCCGTGGCCGTTACTGCCCCTGTGTGCTGTGGCTCAGCGCGTGGCCTTGCTACACGCTTCCCCCTGTGCGGCTTGAGTTGGAGCGTCCTCACTAGCACGCCCCTCGGCCTCAGCGAATGCCACCTCCCTCCTCAGGTGGATGCTCTGTGAGGCACCTCGTGCAGGAGCATGTGTTCCCAGGGGCCAGCAACCTGCGGTAGCCCCGAGTGTAGGAGAGGGGCAGGGCCTGGCTGCCGAGTCCTTGTCACCCCACACTGAAAGCTGGGCTACAGCGGGTGGGGTGACCAGTTCCGCTTGGAGATGGGCGTTGGCCGGTCGGTTGATGCTCGCCTTTGTGTGACGTTTGTCCTGCTGCTTTTCCGTCTTCTTCACGCCAGTTCCCCCTGGCTACAGCCACACCGTCTCCCTCCCGACGGTGCAGATGTTGGGACAGGGTTGGGCCACCTCACTGCTGTTTGTCTCTCGGTCAAGGTCCAGGCTCCAAACCGTAGCGGGTGTCTGCTACTTGGAACCGTGGAGGATGGCATCACTGGTGCAGTTGCTTGTGGCTTGCTGCTGGTGGGCTGAGCCTTCCTGTTTCTCTGAAGCTCCTCTGCCTGCATAGAGGGCTCCCCGGTGTCCCCCCCCCCATAACACCGCTGTGTCTTGTAGGCTGCTGCCTTAGTTAGGGTTTCTAACGCGATAGAACACGTGACCTAAAGCAGCTTGGACAGGAAAGGGCTACCGAGGCTAAAACTCTCAGGTCACATCCATCACTGAGGGAAGTCAGGGCAGGAACCTGGAGGCAGGAGCTGATGCAGAGGCCGTGGAGGGTGCTGCTCACTGGCTCGCTCCCGTGACTGGCTTGGCCTGCTTTCCTGCATAACTGAGGACCGGTTGCCCAGGGGCTGTGCCCTTCCATATCAATCACTAACCAGGACAATTCACCACTGACTTGCCTGTAACCCAACCTTATGGGAGCATTTTCTCACCCGGCATCACTTCCTAGATGACTCTAGCTTGTGCAGAGTTGGAAAGAAAAAAACGAACCAGGACAGGTGGAATGCCTGGGAAAGAACAGGGCTCACACTGGGCCTGAGGCTCAGGTCTGCTGCCTGTGTGGAGGGTTAAGCTGGACTGGCAGAGATGAACCGCAGCCTCGTGAAGCTTGAGGGGCTGTCTTCCACTGAAACGCAGACCTTTTCCCCCCCGGGCCAGGTTTTGGCGGGGAGGCAGCAGCAGATTCAGGAAAAGATGGAGGAGAACTGGCGGGCACAGGAGGAGACGCTGAGACACAGAGAGAAACTCCTGCAGAGCCTGCAGGAGGCCAGGCAGGCAGCTCAGCGCGCAAAGGACCAGAGCCAAGAGCTGAAGTCAGCCAGGAAGCAGGAGCTGGAAGCCCAGGTGGGCACGCAGGGCAAGGGCGCCCTCTGCAGGTCAGAGTCCCGTGGCTGCTGCTTTGCTCTCTTATCCAGTCCCTTTGGTTCTATTAGCCCTGACATTTGCCTGTGCTAATGAATGTGGGTTTGTGTACTTGTGTGCTGTGCCCGAAGAGGCCAGTAGGAGGCACTGCATCTCCTGGAGCTAATTCACAGGCAGTGTGCCCTCCTAACCGCTGAGCCATGTGTCCGTGGCACAGGCTCCATCCGTGGTTCCTCAGTCTCTGTGGGGATCAGGCACTGTCTGCATGGCCTCAAGTCCCCACCCTGGCTGCTGGCACTTGCCATCTGCCTCCTTGCCGAGAGGCAGGGCTCTGCCCCGTGGGCCTTGTCTCCGGTGACTGTTGTTGTGTCCAGGTTGCAGAGCGTCAGCTGCAGGCCCAGGAAGCGGCCCAGCAGGTGGAGGAGGAGGAGGAGGAGCACAGGCGGGCAGAGCAGCTCTCCGATACCCTGCTGCAGCAGGAGGCGAAGACCATGGCTGAGGAGGGCTACCGGCCCAAGGTAGGCACCTGCGGGCGGCCGGCCACCACAGCACCATGCTGGCTCTCTTGTCCCTCCCTTGTAGCAAAGGCCATTGATTGCCTGACTGGTCCTCAAATGGTCAGGTGGTTTGCTCTGGTTCCTGCAACCTCAGTCTTTGCAAAGGCGGGGGGGTGGGGGTGGACGGACAGGGGACACGACGGACGACGACGGGGACAGGAGGCTGACTGCTGATCTTGTACCTGTCCACCCTGTTGGACAAAATATGATCTAGAAGAATGACGACCATAGTTGGTAAGAGTTGACAATGGGGTCAGGTCCCACCTGCCAGGGAAGCCAGGAAACGAGAGACCACTCCCCTCCCCCATCTCTCCCTGTGCATCTTTGTGTTGCTCGTGACTTGTGCGAGTGAGCCCCGGGCAGGCCACCATGGAGGCTGCGTGCCTGTTGTGAGGGACCTGCTGACTAGGCTGTCTGGAATGGATGGAGGGTCCTGGGCTACCTGGTCCCTGACGTTCTGAGGGAGGGGTGTGTGCTGCAGAGAGGGCGCTGACTGCTTCACTGTCAGAGCGAGGGGCCAAGTGGGCAAGACTAGCAGGCTTGAGCAGGCAGAGGGGTCCAAGCACAGGGAACAGCGTTTGCAAAGCCACCTGACATCCAGGGTCAGGGCTTCCCGGGGCACACGCAGCCCCAGGGCAGTCCCCAGAGTTCCAGACTGCTGGCCTGACATGTGTGCTTTCTTTCTCAGGCCTATGGACACACCAGAATTGCCTGGGACTGATGGCGAGCAGAGACACATGCAGACTTGATACACAGATCCAGACATTTGTACAGTGCTTGGTTCTGGCCAGGGCTCAAGTTGCTGCTGTGTCTGTAATTCGACCATGCCTGTTCAGGCACACCGTGGTCCAGCTTCATGTCAAGATGCCACAGGTGTGCAGTGCCCAATGAGAGCCCTCCCCTGCCTTCCTCTCCCAGACTGGTCTTTCAGACAGTGCTATCCAGAGATCATATCTAAACAGACTTTAGAGCTGCTACAGTAGTATCCCCAGGACGGGGGATACGTGTCTGTACGTGTCAGCCGGGACCTCGAGCCCGAGGGAGGAGGGGACATTGCAGGTTTTGAAGTTGCTGTTTAGTAAGTTCTTCTGTGGAAGGCAGACTTTGTAAGTCTTGGTGTAGCTCTTTCTGGTTATTAGATGCATAGCCCCAAAGGGTCACGTGTACTCTGGAAGAGCCTGGCATTATTGTGCTTTCTGGAAAGTGGGTGACAAAGGAGCTCTGTGTTCTGGCAGTGTGAGGGTTCCCATGGGGGCTGCTTCCCTGCAGCCTTTGGCCCTCGTATCAGCCCCAGCAACCCCAAAAAGAAAAGAATCCCATAGAGCATTGGAACTCATGCTGCCCGAGAAGAGTCCTCAAGGTCACCTGGTGGGCTAGCCTGGTAAAAGCATTTGTTTAACTCTGAAGCTATGTTACTTTGCCTGTCTAAAACACCTGATGGTGTAATAAAGAGCTCATCAGTCTACAGCGTGAGAAAGGGTAGGCAGGGCTGGCGTGCAGAGAGAATAAATAGGAAGAGAAATCTGGGACGAGAAGGGGATGCCGGGGGCCAGCCACCCAGCCAGCCATGGAGTAAGAAGTAAAGAAAGGTATACGGAATGGAGAAAGATTAAAAACTCAGAGGCAAAAGGTAGATGGGATAATTAAGAAAAGCTGGCTAGAAACAAGCCAAGCTAAGGTTGGGCATTCATAAGAATAAGCCTCTGTGCTTTGAGAGACGTGTGTCGGTCCCCCAAAGAGCAAAGATTAAAAAACAAACTAACTACAGTGTGTGACTTAATGTCTGCAAACTGAACTTCTAGAAGCCAACACTGGTTCTACACCCCGGGGCCTAGTGCGTTCCCCCGTGACTGTTATTGGCATGTCACGGTGTAGTGCCAGACCCTGATTTCTTGAGTAGGTTCCTCTCACGGTCGTGCTGTAGTGGAGACTCTGCACTAACCTCAGCGTAGTCTCCCTAGGGAAGTCCCCGGCTGGCTAAGAACCTGGCAGGAGTCTGACTTACACAGACGTTGCATGAGTCAGACTGTGGTGCGACGGGAAGGTGACAAACTAAAAGAAAACGAAGAAACGGGCTGTGTCATCTTTTAGTTTATGGAGACCGGGTTTCTGTGTAGCCTTGGCTGTCTTGGAACTCTGTAGACCAGCTCAGAGATCCACCTGCCCCCTCCCCACCTGTGCTGGGACAAAAGGCGTGCAGGTGTGCCAGCACTGCCCAGCCACAGCCCTGTTTACGGACAGTGTTTCCTGTCCTCTGGGTTCGGGGCACCTTCCACTCATGACGCCACCTGCAGGCCTTCCTTTTGTGATGCCTTTGAAAACACGGATGTTGCAGTTGTCCATGACCTGCCCCGCCCGGTTCAGCCATGTGGAGTCTGACAGCATTGTCTTTGAGGAAGGAGACCTCACTTCTGTGATCGCCAAGACTGTTGCGTGCTTCTCTGAACACTAGCTACGTTTCCGTTGTTACTTTTCACAGCTGACCACGCTGGTGCCCTGCCGCTTCTTCACTCGCTTTCCGTTTCTGGTTTCCCGCGTGACCCCAGATGACTTCCACATCTGCGGTGTCTGGAGTCCTGGAGGGCACCAGGCTGCCCGGCCCCGCCTCAGTGTACCAAAGCAGCAGCTCCCTGGAGTTCCTTTCCCTAAACGGCCAGTCCCGTTTGTTTCCCCAGTCATGGTAATGGCAGCAAACTTCCAAACCAAGTTCTGGAGACTAGTCATGCCTGGGTAGGCTGGGAAACTATGCATTCTGGTGACTTCTAACAGGATAAATGGTATATTTCATTCTGGCCTGTGCCTGTCCAGCCTTGTTTACAGGATACTGAAAATGGAGCCCAGCCAGGGCTTTGCACGTTTGGCAAGCACCAACTATATCCTTGTCCACGTTATTTTCATTTTGGGTATTTGTAGTTTATCACAGAGAACAGCTATAGTCTTTGAAATGTAATTTTAAAAATAAATCAGGGCTGGTGAGATGACTCAGCATATAACGGAGCCTACTGCTGAACCGGGCCGCTGAGCTCCAACCTCTGGGACCCAGAGAAAACTGACTCCCACAACTGTCTTCTCTAAATAAAAAGTATAATACATTAAAAAAGACGATGGTGTAAAAGGCAAACGGTAGAGACAAAGTTACGGGGTATGACCCAAACCCTAGCTCCTATGACATGCCCCTAGCATGGAACATTCACGACTGCCGTGTCCTGTGTGAGTGTGGGAGTTCCTGTCAGGGCCAGGCCCCTGCCACTGAGCACTGGGAGCACAGGGATGTGTGCTGGCCTCAGGACTCTTCACCTGTTGAGTGAAGCCAAGCTGGTCCTGGAGATGCACACAGGCTTTGTGCAGCTGCCCCGCAGCGTAGAGGATGGAGGCCACAGGGCCTCGGAAAGACTGCTTGGGTCCCTTACCTGAGCTCACAAGTGGCCGCTTGATAGCCCTGCAGATATGGCAGCCACATTCAGCGAGGGAGCGTGCTCACCTCTCCTGGGCCAAGGTTCTGGTTCCCGTCAGTGCCCATCACACAACTGCCACATGATCCCTCTTGGGCCAGGTCTCCGTACTGTGACATGAACGTGGAAACTGTGGGGAGCTTCAAGGGGAAGCTCAGACGAGCCAGCCTTCCGTGTGCCTGCCAGGGCGTGGGCAGAGTTCTTCCCATTCTAACCCAGAGCCAGGCATACCTCACTCTCCCACCTTGCCTGGGCACGCCCCTCACGGGATGCAGAAGCTGGGGTGGGGTGGGGGAGCTTCCTTTCTTCACCCCGTGGAACCTGTCCTCAGACCCTTCCTGTTAGTGAGATGGGCATCTAGCGGCAGAGGCTAAGAGATGCCCTCAGTGCGGAAACCACCAGAACAGGTGAGGTAAGTAATATTTCCACGTGGCGTTCTTACCGGGGAGTGAGGCAGGCGTCTCGTCTCCCCGTCTCTCCATGCTGACTCCTTCCTACTTCCTCTTTCCTCCTGGTCTCCTATCTTCCTTTCCTATTGGCCAACAGTGCTTTATCCATTAGCCAGTATGAGAAACATTATTTACAGACTGACATCTCCCATCAGTGGGGAAACACGGCACTGGAAGGCAAGGGGTGGGGGTGGGGAGGGGCCAGTGTGGACTCTTTACCCCCCCTTCAGCCACAGCTCTGCTATCTTTATACTGGACAGTCACTCATGTGGGCGGAGACCCAGGGTTCAGAGCACGGCCTCAGCCGGCTACCTGTGCCCACAGGTCTGAGCCTCAGTTCCCCATTTACAGACTGGGGAGGCTGCAGCTCCTAGTTCTCAGGTGTTTGGTAACTGGCTGTAGGATGGGCCCTGGCAGGGTGGGGGTGGGGACTGCAGACAGTACCGGAGTACCAGTGGGGTTCCGGAACAGGCTGGACGGGGACACAGAAAGGTTGGAAGACGCCAGTGTATGGACTGACAGTCACTCCACAGAGCACGGGGTGGGGGGGGGTGGGGGGGGGTAGACTGACCGTGACCTCACAGCGGGTCAGCGCTGCCTTCCAGGGTTGGCTCAGAGGCTTCTAATGGTGGTCAGTAAAGCCAGCCCTCATGCTGTGGTAAAAGGCCCCAGTGGAGGCTGAGAGGCAGCCTGGAGGCCACAGCTCACTTCTGCCACTCAGTGGGCATGTATGGACTGACATGCATAAAGTAACCCACATTTCTAGAATCTTGAAAAACCAAAGCTTTAGCAACTCATGTCTATTTCTCCACAGCAACATGAGGAGTGAGAGAGGAGTTGCTGTCCCTGCAGGCTGGGCGGGGCTCCCCAGCTGTCCCCCCCTCCCCGCTGTACACCTGGCTGGGCGGGGCTCCCCAGCTGTCCCCTCCCCCCTCCCCGCTGTACACCTGGCTGGGCGGGGCTCCCCAGCTGGCCCCTCCCCGCTGTACACCTGGCTGGGCGGGGCTCCCCAGCTGTCCCCTCCCCCCTCCCCGCTGTACACCTGGCTGGGCGGGGCTCCCCAGCTGTCCCCTCCCCCCTCCCCGCTGTACACCTGGCTGGGCGGGGCTCCCCAGCTGTCCCCTCCCCGCTGTACACCTGGCTGGGCGGGGCTCCCCAGCTGTCCCCTCCCCCCTCCCCGCTGTACACCTGGCTGGGCGGGGCTCCCCAGCTGTCCCCCTCCCCCCCCTCCCCCGCTGTACACCTGGCTGGGCGGGGCTCCCCAGCTGTCCCCTCCCCCCTCCCCGCTGTACACCTGGCTGGGCGGGGCTCCCCAGCTGGCCCCTCCCCCTTTGCCCGGCTGTACATCTGGCTGGCTTCCTAGCCATTCAAGGTCAGCTCTCTCAGGTCGGAGCCTAAGCTCCTCTCACATAAAACAGATGTGGCGAGCTGGGGTATGGATGGCTGTAGCGTTCACAAGAAAGAGCCTTAAGTAATGTAAAAACCAGTGCGCTGTGGCCCAGATGTCAACTTCAGTGCTTGTAGAGCTATTGCAGAGCAACAGTCAGCTACAGCATGCTGAGAATGACTCCACAGTGCCACAGGGTGTCTAATCTCTAAGCACAGTGAGGCGAAGGGATGTCTTACCTGGGAAGAAATCCATCCAGAGGAGGAGACACGTGAAGCTGTAGGAGGTCAAAGGATGAAGGGTACCACCCACCGCATGTTAGCTCGGGTCTGAGAGCCTAAGTTCTGAGTCAATTATCTGGCTTGGGGAGGGGAGGGAAGGGAGAGGCAGGTCCCTGACAGCGGTTGGGGGTGGGGTGGGGTGGCACTCCCACTCGGAATGTGGCCACCTAGAACCTGATGTGGAGGGTGGATTCGTAACTATTGTTTGGACATTATGGAGACTTCAGCATGATGGTAAAATCTTTATAGATAGAAAATCAAGATAAAAATATTAAATAACACAACACTTAACATGATACAAAAGTTAGGGATGGGTCATTCCCTTGTCCTTCCCAAGAGATCTGCTCTCTTTAGGAAGAGGCAAGGACCCTGCTTTCCACACATGCCTAGAGATACTCCAAGCTCTGAGACTCTACGGCAGGATGGAAAATCTACTTATTGCACGATGCTTGGAAGGAACAGATAACATTGTTTTTTGTTTTTTTTTTTTTTGTTTTTTTTTTTTAAATCCAACTCTCTTAAGAAAAGGTTTTACTAAAAATATCAATTAAAGTTTTAGCCATGGGCAGAGAGTTTTAAAGGATGGAAAAGCTTTAGCAAACTCCAAACTATTCCTTTTAAACATCCGATCATGACCTAAGTAAGCGCTTGGTGATAACACAGAACAGAACAGAGGCTAAGTTGCAAACAGGCACAAATAAGGCAATGGTTAAATCACAGTCAAGAATCTGTTAGAAAACATGCAAAAATAATATTGCGCTTTCTTTTAAAAAGTTTCAAATCATTATTAAACGTTTTCGTAAAACTCTGAAGCGTCCACGTCTAAACTGAAGCCGGACTCTGAGAAGCCTACAAAACAGAAGGGCAGCGCTCTGGAGCTCAGCTGTTGTTCTCTTTGGTGGTGATGGTGACCAGCTGTTTGGCAGCCTTGGCGATGTCATAGGCACACTGGATGACCTGCTGTGTGAACAACTGCACGTCCATGGGCAAGCTTGGGTCTCCTGGGAGGGCCTTCCTGCACTCAGACTGGAGCCGGCAGGCACTGGACGTCAGTAACCGGAGGGAAGCCCTCACCGCGTCAGACTTGGGTTTCTAGAAGGAAGAGTATACGGTTTGCTGTGGGCTGCAGGGTGGACATCCAGCAGCAAGGAGGAGTCTACCCCGACAGCAGCTGCAGCTGCTTGTAAATAAAGC